ATCTTTCTCTCTCCTCCAAATGATCGTTGCAGTTTTTCTGATTCTTGATTAAGGTAATTATTCTTTCATTTTCATCTTTTTAATTCTGGGTTTTCTCATTTTAATGGGGTTTAATGCAAGATTATTGGGGTTTAAAATTTTCAATTTTACGTTATTTTTTATTTATTTTTGTTGGCAGATAATTAAGAAACATAAAGAAAAAAATAAATGGTTATTAAAATAACCATGCATTATCATTGAAAATTAAAGGTGTTTTCAAATATAGGGAAAAATAACTAATGGTAATAAATATTGCAGGCTAAATTTTAAATGGCTTAGGTTGTTTTAGGAAAACTATAAATTGAGCATTTCCTTCATTTGTATAGAATAATTTTCAAGAGAAAATCTGAGAGAAGAAAAATAACTCAGAGAAAAGAGGGGTTGTGTTTTTTGCACTTTGGTATAAATAGACATTTTGTTTATGTAATTTATTTCTCCCTCAAATTTGATTAAATAGAAAATTTGCATTATTTTCTTAACAATTGGTATCAAGAGCTTGGTTGACAATTAATCCACATTACGATAAAAATAAAAACGATCCTAAAAGAAAAAGTCAAATTTGAGTGGGAGAAATGGCTGCAGACAAAGGAGAAGTTAAACTTGAAAAATTCGATGGTAAAGATTTCGGATTTTGGAAAATGCAGATTGAAGATTATTTATACTAGAAAAAACTCTATCAACCTCTGGAAGAGAAAAAGCCAGATGGCATGCAAGAAGCAGAATGGAAACTTTTAGATAGACAAGCACTCGGAGTTATTCGATTGACGTTATCACGCAATGTGGCGTTTAACATTGCAAAGGAAACCACAACGGCAGGTCTCATGAAATCTCTCTCTAATATGTATGAGAAGCCATCAGCCTCCAATAAAGTTCATTTGATGAGGCGGTTGTTTAGTTTGAGGATGTCAGAAGGTGGATCGGTAGCTCAACACCTTAATGAACTCAATTCTGTCACAACCCAATTGAGTTATGTTGAAATCAAATTTGATGATGAAGTATTAGCGTTAATACTTTTATCTTCCCTGCCAGATAGTTGGAATGCTACAGTCACAGCTGTGAGTAGCTCATCGGGAAATAACAAGTTGAAGTTTGATGACGTTCGTGATCTGGTTCTTAGTGAGGAGATTCGACGAAGAGAATCAGGTGAATCTTCATCCTCTTCAGTATTGCATACAGAGTCAAGAGGAAGAAATTTAATCAGAAGGAATGAACGCGGAAGATCAAACTATCGAGGAAAATCCAGAGATAGGAGGTCAAAATCCAGGAATCCAAATAATTTCCAAAACTCAAAGACTGTGGAGTGTTAGAATTGTGGAAAGATTGGGCACTATAAAAATCAGTGCAAGGGAACACCAAAAGGCAAAGAAGTGAAGGCAGAGGCAAATGTCACTTCTACCGGAGAAGGTGATGATGCGTTGATATGCTCATTGGAGAGCAAAGAAGAGTCTTGGGTATTAGACTCTGGAGCATCGTTCCATGCTACTTCTAATAAAAACTTTTTTGAGAAGTATGTCCATAGAAACCTTGGACAGGTATACCTTGGTGATGACCAACCTTGTGATATTGTTGGTCAAGGTAATGTCAAAATTAAGTTATATGGGTCAGCTTGGGAGCTGAAGGATGTCAAACATGTTCCCGACCTAAGAAAGAACTTGATCTCAGTTGGGCAGTTGGCTCGTGAAGGTTACATTATAATCTTTCAAGGTGATAATTGGAAGATTTCAAAGGGAGCAATGATAGTTGCTCATGGTAAAAAGAATGGTACTCTCTATTTGACAGCTGGAGCGTGTTATTCGATTGCAGTTGCAACAGAGAATGAAAATTCCAAGTTATGGCACCAAAGACTTGGTCACATGAGTGAGAAAGGAATGAAGATCATGCATTCAATTGGAAAACTCCCTAGTCTAAAATCTGTGAATTTAGACATGTGTGAAGAATGCATACTTGGAAAACAGAAGAGGGTAAGCTTTCAGACATATGGAAGAACTCCAATGAAAGAAAAATTGGAGCTTGTTCATTCTGATGTGTGGGGACCAACAACCACCCAGTCTATAGGTGGAAAACAGTACTTTGTGACTTTTATTGATGATCACTCTAGGAAAGTATGGGTTTACTTTCTAAAATACAAGTCCGAAGTGTTTGAAGTTTTCAGGATATGGAAAGCTAGGGTTGAAAATGAAACAGGTCTGAAGATCAAAAGATTCAGGTCCGACAATGGCGGAGTATGAGGACACCAAATTCAAGAAGTTTTGCTACGAGCATGGTATTAAGATGGAAAGAACTGTGCCAGGTACGCCTCAGCATAATGGCATAGCTGAGCGGATGAACCGAACATTGACAGAAAGAGCCAGAAGCATTCGTATACAGTCAGGTCTACCAAAACAATTCTGGGCAGAAGCAGTCAATACAGCAGCTTACTTGATCAATCGAGGACTATCAACCCCATTGGAGTACAAATTACCAGAGGAGGTATGGAGCGGCAAAGAGATCAAATTGTCGCACTTAAAGGTATTTGGTTGTGTAGCTTATGTGCACATTAGTGATCAAGGCAGAAATAAGCTTGATCCTAAATCAAAAGTTTGCACTTTTATCGGTTATGGCGAAGATGAGTTCGGATACCGCATTTGGGATGATGAAAGCAAAAAGATTATTCGTTCAAGAGATGTAATTTTCAATGAGAGAGTCATGTACAAAGATAGGCATAAAATTGAGAGTTATGAAACAAATCAAAAAGAATCTACATTCATTTATGAAGATTATGTCCCAGACAGTACGATGCAAGAGTACACTATCATAAGTATTCCGCAACAAGAAGAACAGACTGTACAGGGCAGTACATCGCAATCAAATGACATACAACAACCTTCTTGTCCAACTCCTACACTAAGAAGGAGTACTCGACCACATGTGCCTAATAGAAAATATATGAATTATTTGTTATTAACTGATGATGGGGAACCAGAAGATTATTATGAAGCATCCCAGACCAGAGATGCTAGCAAGTGGGGGCTTGCAATGAAAGATGAAATGCAATCCCTGATTTCAAACCAGACATGGGAACTAATTGAGTTACCCATAGGTAAGAAGGCCCTTCATAACAAATGGATATATCGAGCAAAAAAGGAGCACGATGATTCCAAGAGGTATAAGGCTCGACTAGTTGTCAAAGGTTTTCAACAGAAAGAGGGAGTTGATTATAATGAGATATTTGCTCCTGTTGTGAAACTCAATACCATTAGAACAGTGTTGAGTATTGTTGCAATTGAAGATCTTTATCTCGAGCAGTTAGATGTGAAGACTGCATTTCTTCATGGAGATCTTGATGAAGAAATATACATGCACCAGCCAGAAGGTTTTATAAAAAGTGGGAAAAAGCAGATGGTATGCAAACTTAAGAAAAGTTTATACGGGCTAAAACAAGCCCCAAGACAATGGTACAAAAAGTTTGATAACTTCATGCACAAGGAAGATTTCCAAAAGTGCAACGCTGACCACTGTTGCTACTTCAAGAGATATCAATCCAGTTATATCATCCTATTACTTTATGTTGATGATATGTTAATAGCAGGTTCTGATATGAATGATATTATAAAGTTGAAGCATCAATTGTCAAAGGAATTTGACATGAAGGACTTGGGTCCAGCAAAGAAGATTTTAGGAATGCAAATCACAAGAGATAAGCAGAGAGGCACTTTGCAGTTATCACAATCAGAGTACATCAAACGTGTTCTTCAGAGATTTAATATGGGTGATGCTAAGCCTGTTAGTACACGTTGGCGAGTCATTTTCGTCTATCAAAGGATCAGTCCCCTCAGACAGATGAAGATAAAGAATATATGGCCAAGGTTCCTTATGCCTCGGCTATTGGAAGTTTGATGTATGCAATGGTTTGTACGAGACCAGATATTGGACATGCAATGGGAGTTGTAAGCAGGTTTATATCCAATCCAGGAAAAGTCCATTGGGAAGCTGTTAAATGGATTTTGAGGTATTTACGAGGTACAATTAATAAGTGTTTGTACTTTGGTAAAGGTGAATTGAAAATACAAGGTTACGTTGATACAGACTTTGGCGGTGAAGTCGATAATAGAAAGAGCACAACGGGTTATGTATTTACAGTTGGAAATACAGCCGTAAGTTGGATGTCCCAACTACAAAAGATTGTTGCTTTATCCACTACAGAAGCTGAGTATGTGGCAGTGAAGCTAGTAAAGAGATGATATGGCTTCAAGGTTTGTTAAATGAGCTGGGGTTCAAACAAGTGAATAATATTTTGTATAGCGATAGTCAGAGTGCTATACATTTAGCAAAGAATTCGGCGTTTCACTCAAGAACAAAGCACATCGGTATTCGTTATCACTTTATCAGGTCTCTTCTAGAAGATGAAGTGTTAACTCTTAAAAAGATTCTTGGCAGTAAGAATCCAGCAGACATGTTAACGAAAACAGTGACGATTGACAAGTTGAAATTGTGCTCAACATCAATTGGTCTTAAAATGACAGAAGACTAGTTGAGGTTCTACTCCTTGGTGTGAAGACAGATTGAAATCAGTCTTCAAGTGGGAGATTGTTGGCAGATAATTAAGAAACATAAAGAAAAAAATAAATGGTTATTAAATAACCATGCATTACCATTGAAAATTAAAGGTGTTTCCAAATATAGGGAAAAATAACTAATAGTAATAAATATTGCAGGCTAAATTTTAAATGGCTTAGGTTGTTTTAGGAAAACATTAAATTGAGCATTTCCTTCATTTGTATAGAATAATTTTCAAGAGAAAATCTGAGAGAAGAAAAATAACTCAGAGAAAAGAGGGGTTGTGTTTTTTGCACTTTGGTATAAATAGACATTTTGTTTATGTAATTTATTTCTCCCTCAAATTTGATTAAATAGAAAATTTGCATTATTTTTTTAATAATTTTTACTATTTACAGCAATTTTAATGGAATATGTTTGTAGGTTTTGATTCTTATTGATGTTGACTGAATTACTGGTATAAACCCTGTAACTTAGTTTTGGGTAAGGAATATAAGATGAATTAACTTGATTCAGTAAGGTTGAAATTCATTGATTCATGAATCATGATTGTTGTATATTTATTTTACCTTTTTTTTTTTACAGTATTTAGCATATTCGAAAACCTATGATCTTAAGTTGGTTTTGTTGCAACTATACTTTGTAAATTTTTTTTCTTTTGAGGGTTGTGACTCTTGTGGGGTATAAGTGTGCCCGGTCAAAATGTAGGAGTAGTAATTAATATGAGACGGAGGGAATACCATTAGTTACTTAAAATCCGGAATTACCCGGATAAAGTAACTTGGAATATGGAAAAATAGAACAAGATTTGCAAGACTCGTAGATGCATTAGGCGTTTCCCTCGTGAGGACTAAGGAGGGTCTCCTAATGTCGCTTTTTCCTTAATTGTTGATAAATAAATTTTCTTTTTGATTAACTAGATATCTTTAATCAGAGAATATTAGAAGAAAAAATGGATTATATGGGAAAATTAAGGATCAAGGGTTAACCCTTACATGCCTCAATTTCCTGTTTACAATCAAGATATATTATATGTTGGGGTTGTATCAATGTTTGAATAGGGATTCAATTGTTTGAAATTATGTTAAGGTCTGCCTGGTGGAATTGCCTTCTTTCCTACAAAGAAAATGTCTTCCTTTCTGTTAAGAAAAGGCCTATTCCTTAATTCTGTTGCTTATGTAAGCAAATAACTCAAATGGGCAGAGTTTTTCTTTCATCAAAAGATGTCCAGTAAATGGTTTTCCTATTAAAGCAGTGATTGGAAGTGTTTCAGACTTTCAGGTACCTTCATACTGGTATAATTGGAAGTCGGATACACTTTCACCTCATGTATAGGATAAAACATTATGCGTTTTTTCTTTAGTTATTTTTTTATTTAATTTTTATATCCTTCTCAATCTTTGATCAACCAAAGAAAATTTTCAGTAATTCAGTAAAAAACTTAAAAAATTGTATATGGCTAATGTAACTAACTTGTTCATTGATGGAAAACCTTGATCATCATAACGGAAGATCTATTATAGCTTAAGTGTCATGTTTGCTTTTAGATTTATGGTTCTCTATCACCATGCTCCTAAGAGTGAGATAATGCTAGACATATAACTGCTCTTTTGAATTCTTAGCAGCAAAAAAGTGTCTTTTTTTCTCAATTATCTTGTTATCAGAATCCAATTTGCTGCTTTGCTGGTAATCTTTTTTAGTTTATCTGGCTAACTGCCCTTTGCTAATGCAAACCACTTGCATTTATTTCTATTGAGTCAATATCTTCTACTCCAGATGTAGATGTAGTAGTCAGATATATGATACACTGAGATTGCTGCTGTTTTGGAAAAACTTGTATTCCATTTCTTTGTTGTTGCGTGCGTGAAAATTGGTGTTGAGTATAATTTTAATCCCTGACTTGGCATATTAGCTCAACTTCATGGGTAAGACACTTCAGCTGTCTGGTTTTCCTTCTACTGTGACTGTTGAAAATGTCACCGCATATCTGGAGGATATAACTGGTAAAGAAACTGTTTATGCTCTGAAATTAAGGCAGTTTAAAAATGGTGGGTCGAGATGTTATGCAGTTGTGCAATTCACCTCTGTCAGGATGGCAAGTCTTATCCTCAGTTTCTCTCAGCCTCCGAAGAAACTTTGGTATAATTCCAATTACTTGAAGGTACGAGAGTTGGAATATGATATTGTGCCCAAGCCAAGAATTTATCAACATAAAATGGACAACATAACGCTTCATGTTGGATGTCAGACTTCAAATGACAACTTCAGAGCATTTTGGAGAGTTCAGGATGTTTCTTTATCATTTGGCTCAGGATTGAGGAAGTTATACTTCTCCTTAGAATATAATTTTAAGGAATATAAACTTGAACTTTCTTATGAGAGTATTTGGCAGATTGAGCTAAGACGTCCACGTGCTAATCATTTGAAGTATCTTCTAATTCAGGTTTGGTTTCTATCCTGGTTATCTTTTAACAAAATTTTCTTGCATTTGGAAAAAAGTGATTTTATGACATAATTATGATATGCTTGGCAAAATTGGTAAACAGTTAGCTCCTATGAGGCTTCGAGGTCCATTGGAAGCATGCTCTCCCTTTGGGGCCCCCCTTGACAATTCTTGCCCCCTTTAGATTGTTAAATTCATTGCCTCATCAGATATTAGCTGTATCAGTAGGTGCACCATACATCCGTGGTAATACAATACAAAGTAAATTTTTAAAGGGCAATTTTGTTGCCATTGGATCCCCCCCCCCCCCCCCCCCTAGTTTCTTGGCAAATATTGAGCTGCATTTAGCTCTCTGTTCCTGGACAGAGGCAAGTGGCAGCTCTCTTTGTCCTCAAAACTTTGTTCATTCATGAGTAAATCTTGACCTATTTCCCAACACATCCCCATAATACCATTTGAGGCTTTGAGCAAACAGTTGACTGTATACACTTATGGTCAGCACATGCAGCCAAAACTCAAGAATCTGTTGGCTAATTTAATTGCTAACTTAACGGAGAATATGACAAACATGTATATGCAGGTTTCGCTTGTAGCTTCTATTTTTTTTTTTTTTCTCTTGATTACTTGTAGGCTGTTGGTTATAATGAATTGAGGAAATTTATGATAGATTTAGATCTGTACTTTGAATTTTTCAGCTGTTTGGGGCTCCTCGGATATATGAGAAGGATGCATGCTCTTTAGGACTGGCCTTTGACTATTATAAGGATGGACAAGAGGATCAATGGGACAGGACGACAGATTTCACCTCCTTAAGTTGTATAGGACAATCGTCTATTTTATGTTTGGAGCTTCCATATAACTGCCAACTACCAGACTTCAGAGCTAACTTTGCATATTTTAAGGAGGATGATGGCCAATTTACTATAGAATATGGCAGTACCTTCTCCCACAACTTGGGACTTGTTCCAATAGTGGTTCTTCCAAGAGGGGTTGATTTACCATTTAATATCTTGTTTAAGGTAAATAATTTGGTTCAATCTGGATGTCTTCCTGGCCCAAACCTTGACCAGAGTTTCTATCAGATGGTTGATCCGAGGAGATTTGATATGGCCCTTATTGAGTATGCACTTGAAAATCTGTATTTTCTGAAGGAGTGCTGCTACAATCCAGTTAGGTGGCTACGACAGCAATACACAAAATACCTTACATCTAAGAGAAGTCCTGGGAAGCCAACCCTTTCATTGGATGCAGGTTTGGTTTATGTACGCAGAGTTCAAATAACTCCATCTAGAGTGTACTTTTGTGGCCCAGAGGTGAATGTTTCCAATCGGGTGTTGCGAAATTATCCCGATGACATTGATAACTTCCTTCGCATTTCTTTTGTTGATGAGAATCTAGAAAAATTATACTCAACAGATTTATCTCCACGTGCCGGAAAGCGGACTGAGATCGATGGAAGGATTCGTTCTGTTCTCAGTAATGGAATACATATTGGTGATAAGAAGTTTGAGTTATTGGCCTTTTCATCAAGCCAATTGAGGGAAAACTCTGCATGGATGTTTGCTTCTAGGCCTGGATTGTCTGCCACAGACATCAGAAATTGGATGGGTGACTTCAGAGAAATAAGAAATGTTGCAAAGTATGCTGCCAGACTTGGTCAATCTTTCGGCTCATCCACGGAGACTAACTGTTCCTATTGAGGAAGTTGAAATGATACCTGATGTGAAAGTAAATGCTGGGAGAAATACATACAACTTTTCTGATGGAATTGGGAAGATTTCAGCTGATTTTGCTTGCAAAGTGGCAAAGAAATGTGGTTACAGCTCCACCCCATCTGCCTTCCAGATTAGATATGGTGGATATAAGGGTGTCGTTGCTATTGATCCCCTGTCATCTAAGAAGTTGTCATTGCGAAGAAGCATGCTCAAGTATAAATCAGATAACGATAAACTTGATGTACTGGGACATAGTAAATATCAAGCATGCTATATGAATCGTCAGATAATTACTCTCTTGTCCACTCTTGGAGTGCAAGATCGTGTATTTGAGAAAAAGCAAAGAGAAGCATTAAATAACCTAGATGCAATCCTAAAAGATCCACTAAAGGCACAAGAAGCGTTGGAGCTCATGTGTCCTGGGGAGGTTACAAACATTCTCAATGAAATGCTTAAATGTGGCTACAAGCCTGATGGTGAACCATTCCTTTCAATGATGTTGCAAACTTTCCGGGCTGCAAAGTTGCAGGAATTGCTCACCAAATCAAGGATGTTTGTCCCACGTGGTAGAGCAATAATGGGATGTCTGGATGAAACTAAAACCTTGGAATATGGTCAGGTGTTTGTGCAGGTTTCAGGCTCAAAATTTAGGAATGTTGGTAATGAATTCCTCACTTGCACTGACTATGAATCTGAACCCAATAACTATGTTGTGAAGGGAAAAGTAGTTATTGCGAAGAACCCTTGTTTACATCCGGGTGATGTCCGTGTTCTGATGGCAGTAGACGTGCCTGCTTTGCGTCACATGGTTGACTGTGTTGTCTTTCCTCAGAAAGGAAAGAGGTATATGAATTACTTGATTCTCTACTATCTCAAACTTTATTTCATAATCTGTTCAGTTCTAGCAGGTTTGTGGTTGTCTTTAATTGATTCTGAATTGCATATGCTGTTAGTGTGACACAATGCTGGGGATTCTGAATTGCATATGATTGCTCAAAAGTGTGATTAGTTATTAGCTGTCATGATTTCCATATCTGTGAATTAAGCTTTCTTTTTTCTTGCTCAAGAACATGATCTCATGTAACTAAGCAGCTATACTTATTCAGAGTATTTATTTATTTATTTATTTTTCCGTCCTCATTTATTTCTCTTCACAATTCCAAGCATGATTAGTAGTTTATAGTTCATTAAAAGCAATCAACATTAATTTGATCAACACATATAAACTATTGCAAAGAATAGATGCCACATGACTTGGGATGTGACTTTGAAATTTATTCTCAGATATGCTTTCCAAATGTGAATTTCAGGCCTCATCCAAATGAATGCTCTGGAAGTGATTTGGATGGTGATATATACTTTGTTTGTTGGGATGCCGAGCTGATACCCCCTCGCCAAGAGGAACCTATGGATTACACTGCAGCTGAAAGCACAATACTGGATCATGATGTTACCATGGAGGTGATTCTTTGCCTCTGATACTTTCTACTTTATATATTTGTGTCAGGCTTTTAAGACTTCTAATTTTCTGTTCATAAGCATTTGCACTACAATCTGTTTGATCTAGCCCTATATTTTATATGCTAGTTTATCAGATAATGGGAAATACATCCTTTTTTCAGGTTTAGTTATTGATGATTGTATATTTATTTGTTGCAAACCACATAAATACCAATATATAAACTGTTGCATATCCTGATAGAATGGCTACGTGATACATTAAATGTTGCACCTTGTGACTGGAATACTTTAGGGTGAAAATGAAATAATGCAGAAAGTTATACTAGTATGTTTCAACTACGAGTATATATCAGTAAAAAGTTAACACCATTGTTTTTTCTTGACCTTGTTGATGCTATTGATATCTGTATTTCTGCTGATGAAGTGATGAATCAGTAATAAATTTTTCTTATTTCTGCTGTTGAGGTATGGAGGTTCAGATGTAATATAATTTTCCTATAAACATTTGTTTTAAAGATTACCTGTAATTCTGTGCTCATGAGTCATGACAGATGTTTGTCTGAGTAGCTGAATAACTGTATTCTTATGTACTTAAGTGATATCATATTGGTATATGTTATTGATGTGCAGGAAGTGATTGATTATTTCACCAACTATATAATCAACGACAGCTTAGGCAGGATTGCTAATGCACACACAGCCTTCGCAGATAGGGAGCATGCGAGGGCAATGAGTAGCCCTTGCATACAGCTCGCTCAACTTTTTTCGATTGCTGTTGACTTCCCCAAAACTGGCATCCCTGCAGTTACACCACCTTCCCTCAAAGTAAAAGAATACCCTGATAAGCCAACTTATGAATCACACAACATTATTGGCAAGCTTTTTAGGGAGGTCAAGGAAAGATCCCCTAGTTCAAAATCCATTAGATTATTCACCAGTGAAATTGCTGCGCGTTCCTATGATCCTGACATGGAATATGATGGCTTTGAGGATCATCTTGATGATGCTGAGTTTTACAAGAGCCAGTATGATTATAAGCTAGGTAATCTAATGGATTACTACGGGATCACCACTGAAGCAGAGATTTTGAGTGGGAATATTTTGAGAATGTCGAAGTCTTTTGATAGAAGAAACGATGCAGAAGCTGTAACAATGGCTGTCAGATCCTTGAGGAAGGAAGCTCGGGCATGGTTTAATAAAAGCGAATATGACTCAGAAGGTGACGACCTGTATGCAAAAGCATCAGCTTGGTATCATGTGACATATCATCCAACTTTTTTTGGCAAGTATAATGAAGGGATGAATCGGGATCATCTCCTTAGCTTTCCATGGTGTGTTTATGACAAATTGATCACCATTAAGAAGAGGAACAGATGGTCTCATGCTTCACAGTTGGAAAGCCTGGAATACCAAATGAGGAATGGATTCAATCTTAATGGTTAAAGATTGTACTTGTATCGGTATGTTACTGAACCTCATCTATCATCCATTTGTAAATTTACTCGATATCTTTTATCGTGCATTGTTATTTAGAATCAAGAACCCTTCTGTTAAATATCTTGGTTTTCCTTGCTTGTCCACATGATATTTATAAAAGTGTTTCACCACTGAATTTTCCATTAGATTTGTAAATATCTATACTTGTCAGTTTCTTTCAAATCAATAGTGAGCAAGTTCACTTTTCTTGGCACCTCTAAATATAGGGTTGGTGAAAGTTGACTCGGCCCAATAACTTGTCATTAGATAAGTGGATTCAAACTGAGTTGTTAACCCATTTAAGTACTTGAGTTAATCCTATCATCGATTAAATCAAATGAGTTGGGTTAAGTTGAAAATTTCATTCCGAAAATAGCCCGAACCATTCGGCTACTTGGCCATTGGGGGGAAATGACATGACAGAAACTAGTTAGTGGTAGGATTGAAAGGACTGAAAGGTGAGTGGCAGTATCCTCCATTTGGTTCCCCATGCTATGTTGTTTGGCGAGTGGGCGATGCCTCTCACAAATCACGGATGAACAAAGTTTCATTCATTATTAGTCAGCTAGCATATGATCATCATAGAATAGACATCCAATAAAGTAATGTAATTATAGCATATACGAAGTATATATGCAATTTGGTACATTTCTTCTTCTTTTCCCATAGTATAAGTCACGTTTTATTTATCTATGAAAATTATTGGCACAACATAGTTCAAATGGATAAATGCAAACGCTATTTATATATTTTAGAAGAATGTGTTGTGAATTTTACCTAATTGTTGCAATTTGAGAAGGAAAAATTGTGATAAACATGTTTTTCATGGGTATTGCCATACTGGGAAATGCATGAGGAAGACACTTTTTTTTAGTATGCCCCACCGATTCACCTAAGCGATCCAACCTAGGTCACATACCTAGCTTATGCGAGTTTAGTTCCAAACAAGAGTTTTCTATATCGGAGACGTTCGAGTTTGAAACCTCCCTAAAACGACATCAAGTTGATTACCATTGTTGTTCAAAGGTTGACTTGCCTCAAAATGACCCGAGTTGAATATGACCCAAAGTCTCGGAAAGAAAAACTCACCGTGGCCCGAAATGTCCAAACTTGAAGTCTTGACCTGAAATGCTCGACTCGAAATTTGACTAGAAGTTTCAACCCAAAACCCAATTCAACCCAACCCAACCCAACCCGATTATTAATTGTGACAAACTTACTCAAACTAGCTTGACTTGAAGGCGCAAGGGACTCGAAATTATTTACTTGCCCCATACCCGACTTGAATGACTTAATTGCCACATCTAATTAAAATTATGAGTTGACAAATAACAATTGACATCTATTCTTGCAATATTGCTTATTGCAGACGACATAAGGAGTATTATATATCTATCAGGTAAGTGTAACATATTATTATTGGAAGTTGAAAGCAACTTAGAAACAATAAACTTACATTTTATAAATATAAACTCCATTGACTTTACGTACTCCGTATCAAGTATGTATGAATTAGGAAAAACACCGGTCTCAAATAAGTCTGCATCTTAATTCTGAAATTTATGGCTATGGGGGTATCCAACTCTAACAAGAGGGCCCACCTCCTCATTAACTTAAACGTATTAATTAAAACAATAATTAACTAATTCATTAAATACTAGTTATGCCAAATGTTCTTCAATTGTCCATCTGGCTTGATTTTTGCTCATTAATTAATTAATTTATTTATAGGTGTGCATTAATAATTAACTTTATTGTAGCTTAGTTTGCAAAACACATAAAACGTCACTAATGACGATAACTAGCTTGAATGGCTACTTTGGTCAACCGTCATGCTATATGTAAGCCCCCCTTCACAAGCTCACATGTCCCATTCATTAAAACTCTAAACGGGTTTGCATAAAACATTGATTTTTGTTTTACTGTTTTTTTTTATTTACTGTTTTTTATTTATTTATTTACTATTTCGTGGAATAGTTTCATCAAAAATTAGTTGTCTCATTGTCTCACTACTTATATTAAGCATGTGATACAGTTGGATAATTCTCATATTTTTACATTGTGATAAACTTATGGCGTAAGTGTAATAGTTTGTGATAGAAATGAATAAAATTGCAAAAATTAGGGTAAAAAATACTAATTCTACCTTTCTTTTACTCCAAAATCTAGTGATTTGACATGTTGAATTATGTTGATCAAGGAGATTATTTGGGACTTTCCTTTGATCCTTTAATCCCTTTAATTTACCACCGCTCAATCTTAATAAATTAAAGGCATGCTTGGATTGAGAGAAATGTTTTAGTATTACTAAGGTAATAAAAGCTAAACTAAGCAAAATGAAAGTAAATAGGAAGGAGGAGATAGTGATAATGATAGTGTTCTTAAAATATTATGTAGTGATAGTGAGGTTTGAGGTGAAAAAAGAGGCTTATTTTGGGAGTAATAGTTACACTAGGGGGAGGGAGTGTAATTATTATTACCCTCATTATAAGGGTAATAATTTCTCCACCTCTCTCTTTTCTTCATGCAACAACTAGCCTGTATTGATTTACTTTAATAAACTAAACTTAGCTGAATTGAGCTGAACAAAATTGTTTATGAGAGAAGTAAATTTTGAACTGAACTGAACTAAGTGTCCGTTCACATTTAATTAATTTCAGTTCAGTTGAGCTCCAATCAGTTCACTTCAGTTGAATTCAAATCTGCTCCAATTAGTTCAGTATAGTTCAGTTCAGCCTAATTTTCCTTTCTCATAAAATATTCATTTCTCAGTTCAGCTCCAATCAGTTCAGTTTAGCTCCAATCAGTTCAACTCAGCTCAGTAAATAATGTGAACATGCCCTAAAATTAAGCTAAAGAGAACACGTCCTACCTTATTTCATTTGTAAACACCATACCCCATACAACAACACCTCTAGCTAATTAATAGCCTTTTCAAGTTTGGCTTTATTACACTCAATCCAAACATGCCATAAAGCTTAATTAAAACAAAAAGTGTGTATATCATTAAGGAAAAAAAAAGTGAGTATAACATTTAAGCAAAAAAAATAAAAATAAAATTTGGAATACTGTTCTGTAATAGGTTATGAAATTATGATGCTCTCTCCATTTTCTTTCTTTCTTTTTTTTTTTAAAAAAATTATTATTTCCCTTATTCCGTTTAGCTGTGTTCTTAATTGATATTCTTGCTTTGCTTTATTCCTTTTAAAGGGGGAATAGAACTCTTTCTTTTACTTTATTTCTCTTGTTTTATCTAACAAGGCCATTAATATAGTTTTCGTTTATTTGAGTTTGTCTCGATTAAAATATATAGGCCTTGTTTCATAAAGAGTTTTTTTTGGAATCCTTTTAGTTATTGAACCTGTTAGAGGTTTGATGACAATTATCAAAATGCAATTTTAGTGTTTGGTAAAGATTAAAAAGGTTATTAAAAAAGCTTTTTGGATTGAAAAGACCTCTTTTTGAAGAAGTTAAACATGAGCTTTTTAAAAATTAGCTTATTAAACATTTAGTTCTTTAGTTGTTTCATATATTAAACAACTAATAACTAACAACTATCTAACAAACACTATTACACAACCATACACTTACAGCTAGCTATTCAAACTAGTTTATCAATTTATGTATCAGTTATTATTCAAACTAGCTAATTATTGTTATTAGATTCGCGATCTGAATTGTATGATCATATGATCGATCCAACTATCCAATTTTAACCAAAGGATCCGGATCGTAAGCAAAATCACAATTAAGGTGAGATCATAGTAAGATCTTATAGGATCGATAGAATCATACGATCCCATCGATCTTGCAAATCGACAAAATGGTGAGGAATGTCAACCCAAGTTATGTGGTAGGATTGTTGTAGAATACAACATGATCCTACTTGATTATTTAGGGTCTGTTTTGATTTACCGAACTGCGCTGAATTGAACTGAACTATATTGAACTGGTTGGAGCTGAACTGAACTAAAGTGAACTGAATATAGTTGAAATGAATAAGTTTATGAGAGAAGGGAATTAGAAGCTGAATTGAACTGAACTGATTGGAGTTGAATTGAAATGAACCGAATTCATTTAAAATTAAACTGAAGAAAACAAGCCTTTAGTATTCTAATAAATATTGGGTTATATTGTTATATGGTTAATTATTTCAAAATTATTGGTTTTAACATCAATTTTACGCCGAATATCATGTAATATACTTCCTCCGTTCTATTAATATTGCAACAATAGACTTTTTGCACTATTCATCACTCTTGTTTGACCGTATAATATGAGTTATATGTTAAGCAAAATATAGTCAAGTGAGATCTTGTTGGATTCGTCTCATATAATACTTTCACAGTATCAACTTTTTATAATTTTTACTCTTACACAATTATAAATATTTAGCATATAAAATGTGTTTTGGGATGCGTAATTTCCTCCTTGTTGCAATATTAACAGAACGGAGGAAGTGCCTTATATTGTCTTTTATCACCCCTTTTACGAGTATTTAATTTGGATCCTACGATCCGATCCTATTACCGCTTTTCCATAAAAAGTAGGATCTCTATCCTAACAACATTACATCTAATACAATCAGTTACTAGCTAATTACCAAACAAGAGCATATACTCCATAAGTTATTTGATTTGTAAGCTGAAAATTAATTAAAAAGTTGATTTATTTACAGTATAGCAAATATATATATACATATTAAAATCAAGGCAAACAATTATGATCAATTGAATACACTATTATCAAATTTCATCTATTCATTATTTATATACAAGCTCTATTCTTATCATTATAGACTTATAGTACAAGTATTATAATTAGATGACAACATGAATAATATAAATAGTTACACTGATTAAAGTGAGGCCGAATCTATATTCCCCAAAACAGTTCCTCACAATAAATAAATAATATCTCCCCTTTTATACAGCATAATCCTTGGGTCCACACCTCTATATATACAAGTACGATCTCTTCTCTACTCTATCTATAAACGTTACAAATTAACTTTATAAACTCCATTTTTTTTTTTGAAAGAGCTAGTATTCTTTTTTCTTCACCTAAGAAATAATTTTATTGTTAGTAGAAATTTTTTATGGTTTCTATTATTAAGTAGTGTTGATTA